AAGCTGGGTATTAAAATAAAAAGAGGGGCGCCCGGGTGGCTCAGTTGTTAAGCATCTGCCTTCGGCTCAGGTCATGATCCCAGGGTCCTGGGATCGGCCCACATCAGGCTCCCTGCTCTGCGGGAGGCCTGCTTCTCCCTCTCCCACTCCCCCTGCTTGTGTTCCCTCTCTCGCTGTCCCTGTCAAAAAATAAATTAAAAATCTTTAAAAAATAAAATAAAATAAAATAAAATAAAATAAAAAATAAAATAAATAAAATAAAATAAATAAAATAATAAAATAAAATAAAAAAATAAAATAAAATAAAATAAAATAAAATAAAAATAAATTAAACCCTTGGGCTTGGGAACTCCCGGACCATATTTCTCTCACTATGCTGGGTGTCTCTATGCCCCCTTTCAATCTTGTGTATAAAAAGTCAACAAACCACTATATGCATTTGGGAAGCACCTGGCCTATCAAGGTCCTTTCCCAGAATGAGTGATGAACAAAGAACAGAGGTAAAAGCTGAGCAGTGGCTCCCTACCTGCCATCATGAGAGAAGGAGCAGAATTTTAGATTTGAACCATCCTCCACTGGGGTCTGCCAGTAATCACTTGTGTGACTTTAAGAGTGTCAATTAGAATGAGGAAGCTTGGCATCCTGGAAAGACCTTAGCAGGACTTGAGTCGAGCTCCTCATTATCATCCCGATGGGAAAAAGATACAAGGATTTGTAAATGACTTGACCAAAATCAAAAGGCTGTTAGTGGCGTACTATATTCAGAATTCAAGTCCCTCTCAATCTGGTACACTTTCTACTAAACTGTCATTCACTGGGCACCAGTTTCTTCATCTCAAGAGGTTATGATTATCCTCCTTGTTCACTTCACGTACTGTAAAGAGGACCAAAAGACAAGAATCTGGTAGCATTTAAAGTGCTAAGAACACAAAAGTATTACAAGGTCATCTCATCTAAACCCCATCCTCCCTGAAAATTAGCCTGATTATATAATAAAAGTATTCACCCTGCCACTTCCCCAAATATAATCAGTATGAGTTAATTACAATGCACTCTTACTCTGGCAATTTACCAGATTTCTGATCAATAACCATTACATGTATTATACCTCCTGCTTTGAACAGTGGGTACCAAAATTTTAGCCATCAGGTAGATCAGAGTTCATAATCAGGCAGCCTGGACTGTACGTAGCCCACAGATGTGTTTTGGTCATACAATAATTTTTTAAATGGCAAATTTTAAAATTAAGTAATTAAAATCCAGATTTTCAGCATCTTTTGAATGCTCCCTCAAGAATATTATTTCCCCCCCAAAAAAGAATATTATCCCTCATCGGGATTAAAATAAAAAATTTTTAAAATAAATAAAAAACAAAAAGAATATCCTCCTTCAGAAGATCCAGGGACACCAGACCCCTTCGTCACCCAGCAATAAGCAAGTGAAGCTGAGCAGCAACTGCTACCTTCAGACTAGTCATATGCCATCTAATCCACCAAGGTCTGGCCTACTCCTCATCATGGGCACTTGAGCTGGAGAACCCTGACGTACATGCTCAAAAGAGAACTAATCAATATTTGTTTACTCTTTTTTGGCCTGTTTTTTCTGGTGTTATCACTCACTGGCTATGTGAGTTGGGCAATATATTTAACCACCAAGTTTCAGGTTGCTCATGTGTTCAATGGGGGTAATACCACCTATCTCATAGAACCACAAAGACTGAAGGAAGCAAGATATACAAAAACATTTAACAATGACTAAAATATATGTGCTCAATTATTTTAAATTTAGCACAAGCTGAAATGTGCTAACTTTTGAGTCAAAACTTCTCTAAAACCTCAAACTCACAGAAAATACAAGATCAGGGCACCTCCTCTGGGGAAAAAAAAATGCAATGTGACAGAATTCCTAGGCATATAATTTGGTATCTATTGCTATGTCTTTAACAATAAGGCCTCTACATCAGAATAACAGATTTCCAGCAAATCCTCTTCCCCTGAAATATATATACAAATCCACTGAACTGCAAATTTCTAGTCTTCAGTTAAGAGTCAACAAACAAAACCACTCCCCACTCCACCAAAATATATATATTATTTTTACCATGACAGATGAGGCCATGAGCTTGAGCAGCAGCCACATTCACTCATTATCCCTGCTGTCTAGCACAGTGTCTAGCACACCGAAGCTACTCTGAAGCTAAGGCTCAAGGGCCAGCATCTCTCTGAAGTCTCGTCAGCGGGTCCCTATCCACCCATCCATATCACAAAGAGTAAAGATACCAAAGTCTAGCAGACAATCTCTTCTACTCACAGCTCCAACAGCTGCATAAACTCAAGGAACTTATTTAACTTCTCTGCACTCTAGTTTGCTCATCTGTAGAAACAGGATGCTAACAAAACCTTTCTGTACAGGAATGAGACAATGCATTTAACACAATGCCAGCACACAGGAAGTGCTCATTAACTACCATTATCAGGGTTCCCTCCTGCTCTACGGTACTCCGTGGGGACTGCTATCATAGTACCTACAGTACGTTACTACAGTTTACCTGCACATACATCTCCCCCACTGGAATGTCAGCCACCTCAGGGTGGGCACTGGTTTTATTCCTTTTTGCATCCTAGGTTCTTAACATTTTCCCTGGCATTGCTGAATGAATCAGAGATCGTCAAAACATTTATTAACCGGAAAATTATGAGCAGAAACTGGACTTTACCTCTCTTGACTGACACTGAAGCCCTCACTGACTGACTCCTACAGACCGTCCAATTTACTTCGCAGTATCCCCACCAAAAGAAGCAATGGCTTGCTTTATTCAGTCTGGTCCACTCACCACTCTAAAACCATCATAGACATTGCATCTTTGCATCTTACAACTATCATTTCAGGGGACATTAACCATGTATCAGGCCCTCTATCCATATTAGCTCATTAAATATTCACAACACTCCATGAGATCAGTATTATCCCCCTATCCCAACCCATACTTGAGGAAAGTAATGATTGGAATTAAGAAACTTGCCAAAGGTCAAGGAGTAAGAGGAGGGACAAGGAACTGAATCCAGAGTCCATGTTACTCTCTATAGGTCTTCCATGCTCATATTCAAAGTTGAACTGACCCACCTACCACCTTCTGACCTTGGAAGATCACAGCCTTCTCTACATTTAAAGGACTATCTGTACCATTTATTTTGACATTCATATTCTTTCTTTTATAGTTTCTTCAATATGTACTTGTATATAGTGTTATGGTGTGTGAAAGAAGGCAGAGCACATAATGAAAAAAAGAACAGATGTAGGCATCAGACAGACCTGGGTTTGAATCCTGCCTCTGTCTCATACCAGATGTGTAATTTATCCTGAATCTTCCTATCTATAAATTGAGGTTAAAATGATTAAATAAGAAAAACCTATAGTTTCAGCACATAGTAAATAATACTTAGTTAACCCCACATTATGAAGCCTTACCTAACCATAGCAGACTCCTCAAAAGTTAATGACCCACCCCTCCTCCTGTGCTATCACTGTATCACAGAAAGAACCTTCACAGTGTACTTATCACTGTCTTGGATTTCCTTATCTCTCTCACTAAATTGAGCACCCTGCAGGCAAGGACTGAGTCTTATTTACCCATACATTGTCTAGCATGATACCTGGTATATTCTCAGTAAATGTTTGAAATTATTATAAGGAGTATTTATAGGATTCCAGACAAGGAATCTTTTCCAACTGGGGTTGTCCCGAATTGGTTGACGGAGACAAATTTCTGCTGGGCCCCGGGTAACATCTCAAAAGTGGAAACAGAAAAGGAGAAACTTAGGCAGGGAGAATGTCCTACCAAAAAACAATGGACAGAGAGAAAACAAAGGTGATTTCAGGTCCTACTTATCTAGAGTAAAGGACTGGGGTAGGGAATTAAGGAAGGGGACTTTTTCAAGCATAAGCTGGAGCCTGATCAAGAGGTATATAGTGTGAGTAGTCTGGCATCACAGTAACTTAAAGTAGATAGGAGCACAAAACTAAGTAACAAAGGGGCCACTAGCATGCCTCACAAGCTCCAGCAAACTTGCAAGTGTGTAAACTGAAAAAGATGAACACAATAATCAATGCTTCATCAAGAACTCTTTCAGCATTTACTAAGCACCTTGTGTGGGCTCACAAAATGAGGAATAAAAGATGGTGCCAACTTTTCCTGTTCTACTAGGTTTTTAAATTAATAATCCTCCCCTTTTGCTTGTGAAAAACAGAATGAGAATGTTGACTTTGTTTTAACTGATCTGTGTTAAGACCTGTCTCCATTTGTTTACACTTGGGAAAGTTTTTAACTTTGCTGGTTTTGGTTTATAACGTGATGCTCTGCGCAGTGCCGTGTACTGTGACAGGCTTCAAAAATTACTTGCATTCATTCCAAATAAAATTTTAACCAATTTTCTGAGTCAACTTTTGGGTCTTCAGTTAAAGTAATAATCTTGTTTAAACTACGTATTTTTTTTTTAGCCTTAACTAGATTTAGAAGACTCCTTGCCATTCTCATAAAAAGCTGAATCCAAGTTCCAGCAGCATTCCAGGTAGAAAAAAAAAGTTTTGCGAGACTTACTCCTTTGGGACAATTGGGGAGAAGGGGAGCTAAGGAAACAGGAACCACACAGACAATGCTTGAAAAACAATTTTCATGTTATGAAGATTAGAACACCTAGATGTTGCCAAGTGGTAGGGCCAGAAACTACCGGAGCCAGCCCTCCCCCCACCCAACACTACCCAGTCCCCTGGCTTCTCCTCCCCCAATCACACACCCAGCTGTCAGGCTCACAGCAGCCACCAGTTCTGTAAAGGACAAGGAAACGGATGCTCAATAGAGACCTGATCAAGGGCCAGGCAGGCTACCCACCCCCCCCCCGGGGGGCAACACCCAGAGCGGAGGAGTGAGGAGGGCCGCAAGGCTCCTCCGGTGGGCTGACGGGAGAGTGAGCGAGGGAGCTAGCGGCTGGGGCAACCTTTACCTGAAGCTGCTGCCACACTACGGGCCGGCTCGGCCCCGGGACACGTTCCTGAGGGAAGGGCCCAGCTTCCCCGCGCCTCCCGGCCCCTGCCCCGAGCTCCGCACTCTCGGAATCCTCGGGGACTGGCGCTCCTCCCCGCCGGCTCAACTGCCGCTTTCCCGGCTCGCCCTCATGCCCCTACTGCTCGCCGCCGCCGGCCGGCCGAGCAGCAGCCCCGTTGCCCCGAGCCGCGCCACGACCCGGAACCGCACCCCGCGAACCGGAAGTCCCAGACCGGGAAGAAGCCGCTGGCTGGGGACGTAGTGCGCAAGCCCCAGAGCAGAGAGCAAGGAGCGAAGCTCTCCCGGGGGGCGGGGCCGAAGAGGAGGCCGTACGCATGCGCTGGACTTCTGCGATCCGGGTAAGGCCTGAGTCACAGATTGTTAGCTGGGAATCTGGCGGGACGCACCAACTCGTGGTTTCGCGTCGGATAGAAATCAACATTAGGGTTCTCCTTCAAATCTCCTTCTTCTTTCTCCATGGGAAAAAGCCTTGAATTCATCCAGAAATGAGTGACGAGATTCCTTCTCCTCTCTTGACTCTCGGTTTTCTCGTCCATACAGTCGTTCCAGTTTTAGGGTATTCCTGTGAGAATGGAATGGGATGATGCTTGTAAAGCACTTAGGACAGTGCCTGACTCATAAATACCTAGTAAATGTTAGTTATTACCCTTGTTATCTTAAAATGGAAATAACTATCTTCCTCAAGAACTGCAGGGAATTGTGTGTCAACTATACTTGCAAAAAAAAAAAAAGAAAAATTTTTTTTTAAAGAACTGAAGGGAGGTTTCCATGAGATAAGAGGACTGGCACAGAACAGGAACTCACTGTTGGTGGTCTCTCTCCTGACGGAACCGGGGGCAGACACCGTGAAGGGGAAAGAAGGACTCAAGTAGTGCAGTGATAGGATCTCTCTCCTATCTGAGAGATGGCCCAGAAAGCCTCTCAAAAATTCACCTTAGCAAAAGGAAAAAAAAAAAGGCTGAATTTCAGCCCTGGGACATCATTACACAATATTAAAGTCACCAACAAATACAAGAGGTATCATCCCCCATATTTTCAAATATGGGATTGATCTCTTAGCTCATACAGGGTAAAAAAAGAACCTTGATTCCCAAATGCTCTCTTGCACACACAACACCACAGTTCCACTGGGGACCTGTTGGATGTGCTCTGCTAAAGCAAAGCGTGTCAACAAGGTTTGAAAATCCGTTTTCCAAGGTCACCGGGTTAGCTGTCCCCTCCTAAATATTAATCTTCATTTTCACTTTCCTCTTGAGCTCCAGTCTGAAGCACAGCTGCTGTTTGTCTCTCAGACACATAAAACTCAACCTATCTAAAACTGAAATCAACTGGGCCCTCTAAGCTTGTACAGATTCTATGGAACTGTACCTTCACTAGTTTTGTGACTTCATTTTTCAAGCAGCCGCTATGAATTTCCTTATCTGTAAAATGGGAATGACAAAAGTCCTAACCTCATTGGGTTGTCATGAGGATTAAATGAGTTAATACATATAACTCACATAGAATAGAGCCTGGCGCATAGCTAACATTTACTAACATTTACATAATGTGCTTACCACTACTGTGAACAGATACTGATTGAGTGCATATGTATTAAGTTTATCCTAGGCACTGGAGATTCAGTGGTGAAAAAACCAGACGGACTCCGCCCTCATGAAACTTATAGTCAAGTTTGACTGAATTTGAAATAGTGGGCAAGTGGAGTGCAGGGAAATATGATAAGATTTCAAGGACAATGTTGGGGACTCCACTGAGAATGGAGACTCTGAATTTATGGTGATACTAATATAATGGTTTGTGTGATTTTTCTAAAACTGTTAGTTTCAACAGTCAAGATACAGGCACACAAAGAGTAAGCAATTGGTTTGATCCAAAGAAGCAGTTTGTTTGTTTTTTTAATATTTTGTTTATTTATTTGACAGAGAGAGAGACAGCGAGAGAGGGAACACAAGCAGGGGGAGTGGGAGAGGGAGAAGCAGGCTTCCCGCCGAGCAGGGAGCC